CTGGTAGGGAGTCAGAAGACCTGGTGGCCTGTGGTCTCAATTCTGCCACCTAAAGAGTTTCAGTCTCAGGGTAGTAGATGCCGTCTGTGCCCCCTGTCCCAATCCCTCAGCCTCCTTAGATGTCAGGGCAGCTGTCGCGGACAGTCCATACACACTGCCTGAGCGCCTCCTCAGGGCGCCTTGGTGCCTCTGCCATCTGGCCTTAGAGCTTTTTCCAAAGCCCGGCAGAAGGTGGCTTAGCCCGGGGCCAGCCCAGCCGCGGCTCCCCTTGTCTATTGCTGTGTCACAAACCACCCCAAGATTTAAAGGCTGAAAACAAGACCCATCATTTTTTCGCTCGTGATTCTGCAATTTGGGTCATGGCTGGGCTCTGCCCCACGTGGCCTCAGCTGGGGCTGGAATGTCCAAGATGGCACCTCGGCCAGACAGATTCTCTCTCCACGGGGCATCTCCACCTGGTTGGTGGGCTTCTTCACAGCAAGTGGGTCTCAGGGGGCTCGGGCTTCTTACACTGCTGCTGGTTTCCTCGAGAGCGCAAAAGTGGACGCTGCCAGGCCTGTTAACTCATGGGTTCAGACATCACAGGAAGTCACTTCTGCCATATTCTATTGATCAAGGAACAGTCCAGGGCCAGCCCACATGCAAGGGCATGACTCCCTTGCTCAGGGAGTGACAAGGTCACTTTGTGATGAGAACGTGGGATGGGAGACGTTGTCGTGGCCATCACTGAACCATAGTCTGCCACATCCGGGCTGCCTGGGAGGAAGGTGGATTAATGCCCCTGGGGACATCCTTAACCAGTAAGGTGGGAACTGGTGGATAAATGCAGGTCTCCTGTCCTTCAGAGGGACAATTCTGGGGCGTATTCGACAGGTTCTTCAGGGGCTCCCCAGCACGATTGAGCCCCAGTTGCCCATAGTGGAATCAGCTCAGCAACTCAACAATACCCCCTTCATTGCTATCTCCTCTTTCCCCATCTTTCTGTCCCCCTCCCTTTCTGCTACTTCCTCCAACCATCTCCCAGCTCTGGTCTTAGGGCTTGCTCTTCTGGGAAACCAAACCAAGACACTTGGTTTACACATTTGAAAAAGCCCCTTAAATTGGGCTATAAAATATTGCACCTGGCTGCCAGAGCTGTTGAGCAATCCCACAGGAATGGATGTGAAAGGGCTTTGTAAACTGAGCGGCTGGGAATGGAGATGAAGGGTCACGGTGGGCAGAGGTATTCCCGAGGGAAGCAGGGGGACATGGGGGCTGCTGGGGTGGGAGGCCAGCCCCCGGGTCATCAGTGAGGGATGACTGGAGCTGCCTTGGGGATGATGAGAGGTGAGGACAGAGAGGTGTGGGGGAACACAAAAGGGGGTGAAGATAGAAGTGCTTCCTGGGGTGTGGAGAAATAAGGGGCACTGTGTCTCTGTCCTGCCTGCCAGATTCGGGTGACTTGGCACAATTAGGTGACTCACCCAGCCACTACAGCCTGCGGCAAGGTCCCTGAAGATCATCCACCCCACTTGCTGGGACTTGTCCTCGTGGAACAAGCCTTACCTCCTGATTTGGCCTCTGCCCTGGGAAGACAGGGACTGAGTTACTGATGGGAGGGTCCAGGAGTCTGGTTCATTCACCTCCATCCAGTAAACCCTGAAAAGCTGAGCCCTTCTCCATGCCCAGCCCTGCGGTAGGGATCCAAAGGTGAATACGCCACTCCCTGTTCTCTCCGAGGCTCCCAGTCAAGGGGGTGGATGTGAGACCAGGAGGAAGGCAGCTTGAACAGCATCGAAGCAGCTGGCTTGCTGAGGGAGGTGCTCTGGGCACAGAGGATGGACATCTGACTGGGGGGCAGGGGGCAGGTAACTGTGGAACTCTTCCCAGAGAAGTTGATAGGCACCTTGGACCCCAACAGGATTTAGGACTTAGCCAGGAGAGAGGAAGAGCATCCAGGGCAGAGGAAAGGGCATGGGCATGAGGAGGCCTGGCTCATTTGAAGAACTTCACTGGAGGGCCTCCAAAAAGAAAGGGAGATGGAGGGGGTGGAAGATGAGGCTGGAGAGAGAGGTGGCACCAGGAAGGGCAATGGAGGCCCCGAAGGAGTTTAAAGCAGGAGATAAAGGGGTCAGATTTGAGTTCAGAATACATCCAGTGATGACCAAGTGGAAGGGGGTCTGTAGAAGGGGGTCCGTATTAGAGGCAAGGAGACCAGCTAAGGGGGCTCATTCATTCATTCAACAAACATCTGTTGAAACTATGGCAAGGGGCTGTAGTGACCTGGATGGTGGCCAGGATGGAGAGAAGGGGCAGAGATTTAGGGAGGTGCTCTCACTGTTACATAAACACATCCTGCAATTCACAAAGTGGCATCCGGTTCCTGGACCAGCTGTGAGTGAATTTGGAAATTGGGGACCTGTTATTTCAAGGGTGGAGAGCTGATAGGGAGAGCTGAGCCTAAACCTCAGGGGCCCCATGGGAGGGCAGCCATTCCTGGAGACCCCACCCAGGGCAGCCCAGCCCAGCCTGCCTCCTTCTTCCCCCTCACTCTGCCCCAGGCTCCAGAAAGTTGCTCTGCAACGTCGGCTGAGGGTAACCTGGATGGGCCCTTTCCTATAAGAGGGTGAAATCCAAACACCCCGGTTTCTTTTCATCTATCCTGGCATGGAGCCAAGTGACTCCTGCACTATCACCTGAGAGGTCAGAGGCCCAGCTGGGACACAGAGTTTGTGCTTGTTTTCTATCTCTGTGCTTCTCTCACCCTCAGATTGCAGACTCTGAGGGTAAGAACTGTCTCCTCCATCAGACGGTGGGTTTTCTGAGGGTGTCTCCCCCATCAGATTAGGAGATTCCAGAGAGTAGAATGAGGAATGGGAATGCAAGTCAGGGAATCTGTTTTGCTGCCACTTAATAGTTTGAATTAATGAAAAACCCTACATATGCCTCAATTTCCTCATTTGTAAAATGGGGTTGATAATAAAACCTGTTGTGAGGATTCAAAGACATAAAGACGGAAGAGGTAAGATCAAAGAGCCTTGGGGCGTACGGACAGGACGTAAATACCAGAACACAGCCAGAAATGAGCAAAGGGCACCAGACCGTGAGTCCCATGAATGCAGGGATTTCTGTCCATTTACCCACTGTTGTTTTCCAAGTGCCCAGAACAGAGCCGGGACATGGTAGGTGCTCAATGAACACTAGTTGACCAAACGAATGGAGAGTCCAGGTGGTGATGGTGGAGAGCAGAGTGCCAGTTCTCTAGTAGGGCAGGAAGGCTTCTGGGAGGTAGTAGGGGCCGGCCAGGGGCTGGGGGTGCTGCTGGGAGCACATCCATGGGAGTGGAGCGTCCGCCTCAGAGGCCGGTGGTCCTCTGGGGGCTGAAGAATGCCCCCCATAAACCTGTAGGTCTCATTTATGGACGTCTCCCTGACCCAGGTTATGAATCTACCATCAACAGGGGGATTTCCTTGCCAGGGTCCTCTCCCTCAACTCCCAAAGCACTGTTTCCACCTTCCGTCTCTCCCACACCACAGCTCCCCAGCAGTCTACACAGTGATGTGAGGCCTCACCAACCCTCCTTGCCACAGTACCCCCTCCTCTGCTCTTTATCCCTCAGGAACTTGGGGCCTCCTGGCTCCCACCCTCTGTTCCAGCTGCTGTCCCCAGACCTTCTACTCAGAAAGCTCCTGACCGATCTTAGCAACAGTGGCCCAGGACCACAGCTCCACCCCAATCTTCCGTTTGTGCTTTATCATCTGTGAGCACAATTCTGCGAAGCTGTGCCCCGATAAAGCAGAATTTTCATCTCCTTAAAAGAAAAATGAGGCCAAATAACCCATGCCACAGTGGTGCTCTGAGCCCTACTTGTCAAAGGGCTTTGTGAGAGACGGTCAAGGGCTAAATAGATAGTACTTAGTGTGATGAAATGTTACCTGGAGGCTGAAAGGGGCTAAGGCAAAACCAGAGAAGCCTGGACCTGTGTGTGTGGGTGTTGTGTGTGTGTGTGAGAGAGAGAGAGAGAGAGAGAGAGAGAGACGTTCTGGCAGAGGGAGCGATGGTATCAAGTAGTTATAGAATCGGTTGGTATATTAAACACATAGAATGCTTTGTAAACACACCCATGCCCTCATGAAAAATGTGGTTGAGTCCTTCAATCACAGAACTTTACATTTTTCCCAAGGCTCAACATTTTAACTAACGTCTTGTGTGGCATTGGGAAGGGGGCCCTGGATTGTCATTGAACAGTTGAGACCACGAAGCCTGGCAAGTCCTCGCCTTAAATGATGCACACAGACCCAGTGGAGCCTGGTTCATCCTTCCTTGACATTCTCGCCCACAGTGCCCCCCTGGAACTCAGAAGGCCTGGTCTCCTCCAGAGTTCTTGGTCCACCTTCCTGGAGACAGGAGCCCTTTCAGGGGACATCAGATGTGCCACAAGGGCACAGGCTCTCTTTCTCATCTCGTCATGGTGGCTGTGGGAACAGACCTGGGAGCGGGGCTGCGTGGGTTTGAATCCAGGCTCACTACCTATTGAGATCATGCACAGTCACGGAGTCTGTTTCCTCGCTTAGGAAACAGGGATGTAATACCCGTCCCACAGGGCTGTTGCAAGAGCAAAGGCATTCATTCAAGTATAATGAGTTTAAAGCACGTTGAACAGTAGTGCCTGGCCAACTGGTGACACGAGTTTGCCGTGATGGCCCCTGACCTCTCCCCCCTGGTTCCTGAGGCCTTCCTGGTTCTTAGACCCTTTCTACAGTGCTCCTCCCCTATCCACATTTGGACCTGTTCACTGTCACCTCCTCCAAGAAGCCTGTTCTGACTACCTCATCTTAAGTGGCCAGCCCTTCCTCCACCTCTTCACCACTTTCATTTTTTTTCTCCCTTCCAGATCACCTCACTTCTCTTCTTGACCCTCAGGCTGTCCCCAGTCCTCCCTGCCCCGACGCTCCCAGACTGTCCCCACACCTTGCCCTCCCAGCACCCTCCCCGTCATCCCCACAGCACACACCAGGATGGCCTGTCCATCTCATGTTTTATTGTAAAAACATTAAAATAAATTACATTTGACATCCTTGCCACTATGTACATACAGTGTGTACGATTCCAGGACAGCCAGCGACACCCCAGCAAGGTGGGGTGAGGAAATAAAGATGAGCTCGGTAAAGCATTTCACAGAAGGACAGACGCCGCTCCTCACCGCACCGCTGCTGGGTCAGCACGCCCCTTGGGTACAGGATGAGTGGGGGAGTGGACACACAAGCCCATCACCGTCTTCACATGTTGGCGGGAGGTGGGTGGGGTTCTGGCCCCATTTGGCCCCACAGTATTGGCGAGGGAGCTGAGAGGCAGACAGGGCGTCTGGGTCAAGAGTGGTCACTTGCCTCCTGCCCAGCATCAGCCGCCTGCGACCGATGCCCCTCCCCCACTCTGCTCACCTGCTGAGCAGGGCCCCCTCCCCGACTCTGGGTGGGAACTCTTGACATCATGACCCTGGCTGAGGTCCCCCGAGAAAGGCCAACGAAGCTGGGGGTGGAGGGTGAACACGGAATATCCCAATCCCTGGGACTCAACTCTGACACCTTTTCTCCCCTCTGGCTCTGAAGCCAACAGATGCCAGGTACACAAAACAGCAGTTTATGCAAAAAATAACAAAACATGCAGGACAGAGTGGGTGGCCCTAGGGTGCGCAGTGTGGAGAACACAAGAACTCAGAACTCAGGCACACCCAGTTCCGCCAGTCCCTCACCAGAAACAAGCTGTGTACAGTTTCACATTATCTTTTGCTCCCCTGCCACAAATCCTTTCCTTTCTCTCTCTCTCTCTCTCTCTCTCTCTCTCTCTCTCACACACACACACACACACACACACCCAACAGTAGCTGGAGGGAGCTCAATTCACATACTTGGCCATTCCCGGCTGTGAGCCAAGAGCAACCTGGGGAGCAGGGAGGTCCCTGTTCTGGACGCAGGGAATGAGGCCATCGGGGCGGGGAGGGTGGGGGCAGAAGGCGCCCAAGCTGTGCGCACTCCTGTGGCTCCCTGGCTTCCAGCTCCAGGAGCCCCAGCCTCAGTGGCCACGGCCTGTTACGCTCTTCCCCCCACCACTCCCAGGGGGCAGAAAGCCTTCGTCTCCCATCACTTGGCCAAAGGGTGTCTGAGACTCGGCACTGGCTCTGGGCTGTCCCAGTAAATCAAGGACGACTAGGACCCTGGGCCCCAGTCAGGACTTGCTCTGGGTCCTCTGTATCAGAAGTGTTTCAGCCCGCCAGCCCGCTGTCTCCTCTCTCCCTCCCCTTAGGCAGCCCCTTCCCTACTGAGGTTTGGGTAGGGGCCTGACAGGCAGGCAGACAGGTGGGACTAGGGATGGGGAAACGCGGGCCCCCAGGCAGGGCCCTGCCACTACTGAGGAGCTCAGGGCCGGCCCCGCACGCCACAGCTCCCAGGTCTCTCACTGCCCTCCCTCTCTCTGGGAAGTGCCTCTCTCAGTGCTGGCCACACAGAAGGAGCTCATTAATACTGGTGAGCTCAAATGGCTGAGCCCCCGCCTAAGAGAACCGTGTGACATTCTCAACCGAATGACTGGGTGAAGACCCACGCAGGTGCAGGTCTTCTCAGGGTCTGTCCTGCCAGTCCACACATGTCTTTGAACCACCAAAAATCCACCAACCGTGCTCAGGACAGATGCCTCCCATGGCCAGGGTGCCTGTTCAGCTGGAGAACAGAGGCCCTGTCCTGGGCGCATGCCATGTTTGATCGGAGAGGATGCAAGGTGAGGAAGGCCCCTGGTGCCCCCTCCCAGTTCCAGGGCCGCCCCCCCCAAGGGCCAGGGGTCCCAGCCATCGTAGGCTGCCCCAGGATGAGGGGAACAGAAGCCATCGAAGGCGGGGTGGGGAGCGGCCTCGCCTCATGTGCCTTTGGAGCCATCTGCTTTATTGTACTCATTCATAAGCTGCTCGTAAGGCACAGAGAGCTCCGACTCGGTGCTGGTGAAAGTGGACTCATCTGACGAGGGGAACTCGCCCAGGTTCAGGGGCACCTCGGCCTTGGGACCCTCCTGGGGCCTCTCTTCCCCGGCCAGGTTGTCCTCCAGCGAGGACTTGGACGTCTCCTCATCTGAGAGGCCGGTCTCCTCATTCACGAAGGTGATGCTGGCATTCTGGAAGATGAGTGGGTGATAGTCCTGTGCGTCCCACGGCTCACCCTCCTCGCTGATGCGGTCCAGCTGGTTAATGAACACCTCGGAGGTGGGGGTGCCATCCTCAGGGGGCCCTGCCCCGGCCTCCTCACTGGGGGTCCGTGACACGTGGCCTTTGCTCCTTAGTGTCTGAGTCACCTCTTCCAAGGTGGGCACCCGGTTCTTGGAGTAGACCACCAGGGGGGCCAGGGAGGTGGGGAGGGCTGGCAGCCCAACCCCCTGAGGCCCCAGCCCTGGGACCCTCTCCCCACCCCCACCTGTCTTCATGGCCTTCTTCCCGATCTGCTTGATGAGGTCATTGTAGGTTTCCTCCTTTTTGGACAGGAAGCTGAAGATGTTGACATCCTTGGACCCTGCGCTCCCGGTCATCTGCAGGGTCTTTCTGGAGTGTGGCGAGCTCTCGAAGGACTCCTTCCGCCGCCGCCGCCGCTTCTTAATGGCCTTGTGGACCTCCACAAACATGCTCACCTTCCAGTTGACAAAGAGGGACAGCCAGGCCAGCCCCAGGTAGATCCACAGCTCCACGAAGTAGCGGTATAGGGCGTGGTAGTTGGCGCTTGGGTTCACACCTGAGGACAAGACGGGGAGCCCAGAGGGTCAGGAGGTGGTCAGCGGGGACCCGGAAACACACGAAGGCCAGAGCTGTGTTGTCTAAGAGTGGGCACAGTGCTAGGACGCAGAAGGGGACACACTGAGAAGGAAGGGAGGCCTGTTCTAGAACCCGGACTGCCCCACTGTGCTAAAGGGCCTTGGCCCAGTCACTGATGTGCCTATGGCAGTCCCCAACCTGCCTGAGCCTCAGTTTCCTCCTCTGTGAAAGGTCAGGAGAGTGACTCCCTGGGGTGAGGGAGGTTCAAGGGGAGGGGCTTTGGGAAGGCCAGTAATGGAGCCAACACACAGGTCAGGAAATAGTTCACGAATGTTTGCGTCTCAAGCGTTCACCTCCACCTGGCTGCTCTGTGCGCTTTGTTGGTGTTTATGTTACAGTTCAGTTAAAACCAGGATGGAAGCTAAGTGAGAGGGTGGCCAGCACCCTCCTGGGTGGGGATGAACTCACTGGTTCAATATGAACGAAACCGGCGGTTGGGCCAAGCGTCTGTGAGCACTGGTCCAGCAGGAAATTTTCTGGGCAGCCTCGATTTTCCTTCAGTGGGGTCTGGCCTGCCTCCTGACTTCCTGTTTCTGACCTCCTCAAACTGGCTCTTCCTGCGGCCGGAGGGCTCTGCCCACTTCACATATCCCTCCTCTGAGGCAAGGCTCCCGACGCCTGCTCCAGGGAGCCCTCCCGGGCCACCCCACACAGCAACGATTGCTCTCCTACACTCCAGGATTAGCTGAGATTTCTTGTTTAACTTTACACCTCCAGGCATGTTCATCTGTCTTATGTATCCTGTCCCCTCTGCCTCCCAACTGGGAGCAACTTGGAAAAGGGACTGGAGGAAGGGGCTTCCTTCAGAGGGGGCTCCCTCAGGGCAAGGACTCCCTCATTAGAGCCGAGACTCCCCGAATGCAAGGGCCGTTGTGTCTCCCCCTGAAGACAGGAGGTGCCGTTTGAGGGGCGCTGTCAATCTTGCTCAGGGGTCGTGGTCACAAGCAAGGTATGATGACAACCAGGACTCACACTAATGTAGCCGGGCCCAGCCCATAGCACTCATTTGATTTCCACTATCCTGTCGGGTGGGTGCAATTTCTTTTTTATGAAACTGATTTGTCAGGTGAGGAAACTGAGGCTGAGGTTAGGTGTCTTGCTGGAGCTGGGAAAGTGTGATTAAATACACTGCTGTACTCCACCAATACAAAGGCTTCTTAGCCGGCTCACGGTCCCTTAGACAATGGCAGGGTTGTGCCTCCGTCTAAATTTATCTCCCAAGACAGCAGGCCCAGATCTGCCAGGGTCAGTGGAGTGTTTAGGGCTCTTTCCTGTTCCTCCCACCCACTCAGTGGCCCCCCTCCCAGCATTCCAAGTCTCTGTGACAATGGGGCAGAAGGCTGGTTACCCGCCCCTGTCCCCTAGGAAGGGGGAAGGGGTGACCAGAGGCCCCTGGAGCAGAGGTCGAGGGCAAATGGGCAGGGCAGCAGGCACTGAGGGAACAAACAGCTGGGCAGTGTTGCCAAACGGGGTGTCCGAAGATTAAGAACCGAGATGCTGCGCAGGCCACAGGCACTAGTACAGGAGGGGCTGGGGCCGGACAGACAAAGCGGCCAAAGACTCTTGCGGCCCGCCTGGATCAGGCAGGGAGGAGTGGGAGGAAGGCCCGGCCGAGGGGCAGGCAGCTGGGGAGAAAGCCTCTCTTGTCTTGAAGCCGCCTGTGGCAAGAGCAGAGTGAAGTTTCGGGCCTCGGAGCCAAGCCTCCAGGGCAGCTCCCTCAGCTCCTGTGAATGAGGGAAGGCAGGCAGCTCTGTGATGGGGAGGGGCCCCTGGCACAGACCCTGCAGGGGGAAGGCCCTACCGCCAGCCCCTAGTGCTCAGGAGAGAGGGGAGAACAGTGGGAGAGGAAGAGGTGAGACACTAAACATGGAAAGAAAAGGAGGGAAAAGCCACGTCCTGAGGAAGGGGACTAGAGAGAAGTCTTCTGCAGTCACTCTGTGCCTTAGTTTCTTCTTGTACCTGGCAGGGTTGATCAAGGACTCACTGGGTAGGGTAAGTGCCCAGGACACTGAACGCCTGAGGGACCCCAGAGAAGGTCAGCTGAATTGAGAGTGGAGAAGCAGAGAAAGAGCAGGTAGAGAGGGGCAGGACTCACCGGCCACGAAGTCGCCAAAGCCGATGGTGGAGATGGTGATGAAGGAGTAGTAGAGGCCCTCGATGTAGTCCCACTCCTCAGTCACCATGAACACGAAGGGAGGGATCACCAGATGGACCAGGACACCCCACACGATGAAGATGGCCGTGCATGTGATCTGCGCCTTCCGCTGAGGGGGTGGCGGGGAGACCAAGTCAGACAATGGTGGAGATGGGGGAAACCCGGAGGGCTGGGGAGGTGGTCAGAGGGCTCTGAAACTGCCCTCTTGCCGTCTGTCCTACCACCTCTGTCCAATTCTTGAATCCTTCCCACCCTCCTGTCACCTGCCAGGGTCCCCCCACCTCTGCCCAGCAGCTAGGGGTGGGGACATACCAGGCTCACGCCTCTCTTGGTGAGGAACTGGCCCAGCCTCTTGGCGCGTCCTCCGAAGAACTTGCCCAAGGCACTGATCCATGTCAGGCAGAGCGGCACCCCGAAGAGGCCATAGAAGACACAGAAGAGGCGCCCAGCGGGGGTCTTAGGGGCCACATTGCCATAGCCTGAGGAAGAAGAGAAGTGAGGTCGAAAACAGGGCCATAGTGGGGACCTAGACTCAGAGTGCCCTGACTCCATCACACACACACACACACACACACACACACACCCCAGCTTGAGGGAGGCCCATCCTCTAAGATTACTTGCTGTTGATCTAATATCAGTACTTAGGAAATGAAATTTCCGAGCCAGCCCTGATGGCCTAGCAGTTAAAGTTCGGCACGCTCACCACCTTGGCGGCCCGGGCTCATTTCCCGGTTGCGGAACTACACCACCCCGATAGACAACCATGCACTGGAGCTTTGGGGAGGGGAAAAAAAAAAAAAAAGGAGGAAGATTGGTAACAGATGTTAGCTCAGGGCAACTCTTTCCCTGCAAAGAAAAAAAATGAAATTTCCCTTGATCACACTATGCTCATGATCCTTTGTAGCAATTATGATGGTATGGGCTATGTCTCCTCCATCAGACTGGAGCTCCCTGAAGGTGGATAAGCCTCCAACATTAGCAAGTTGTCCACTAGCCCATATGGCACCAGTGTGCAAATGAGAAACAGATACTCTCTCTGGGTAGACAGCCCGGAGGCGCTGTGGTAGATGGTCTCCAGAAACGGCCATTCTCAATCCCTTCCCTTCTTATGCAAGCACACTGCTGCTCACGTCAAGCTGGAGTCTGAGTCCCCTCCTCTGAAGCTGGGCTTTGGTGACTTGCCTGACCATAGAACACAGCACAAGTGATGCTGGCTGGGCCAGGTAGAAGCCTTGCTCCTTCTCCCCTTGATCTTTTGAAATGTTCACTTTGGGGATTTTCCCTCTTGTAACCCAGCTGCCATACTGTGAGATGCCCAAGCCACTGGGTTTTCATCCCCAGCTGAGCCCCCAGCCAACAGCCTGCAGCAACTATCAAACATATGATTGGAGGTCTACCAGCTGGGCTTTCAGATGACTCCAGCCCCAGCCACCATGACTGCCACTGCACAGGAGACCTCAAGCAAGAACCAACCAGCTGAACGCAGTCAACCACAGAATGATAAAAGATAATAAGCTGTGTTTTAAGCCACTAACGTCTGGGGTTGCTGGTTGTGCAGCCATAGATAACTAGAATAGACACCCAGCTTGGTGAGCAAACACAGGCTGGATCTGTGCAGTGAACAACCTGTTCAACCTCCTGCATGGGTCTGGCTCTTGGGCCGTGTCGTTTCTGCTCCAAGAGCCCAGGTCAGGACTTCTGAAAGACATTATCCCAGGTATGGCCAGTCACCAAGCATTTACTAAATCCACAGGAAAATGTCAAAAGAACAGATTGCAACTGGCTTGATTTTGAACCCCCATGAAGCTGTGTGACCAGAGCTGGACTCCTGTAAGGTTTCGGGGGCTAGGGCATGGCAGTGGGTATCCTGACGGTCTCAGAGGACTCACCGATGGTGGTGATGACCGTGGCTGCAAAAATCATTGCATTGGGCCAGTTCCAGTTGTTGAAGGTCTGGTTTCCTGTGATGGCCACACCCTGTCCTGCAGCATCAGATACCACCTAAAAAGAGAGAGACAATGAAGCGGGGAGAGGAGGCTGGACTTACAGATGCTTTCTCAGTGACAACACTCTATTAAACTCTTTATAAGCATTCTCACTTAATCATCACAATAACAAGGTGGTAGTTATTGTCTCCATTTTATAGATGATGAAACATTTTATAGAGGATCAGGGAGCTTAAGGGATTTGCTCAAGGTCCCACAGCTGATAAGAATAGGAAACCAGGCAATTGGTTCACCCTCTCACTGAGCCAGAATCACTAGGAGAGCTTGTGTAAAATACAGACTGCTGGGCCCCCTCCCCAGAGTTTCTCATTTAGTAGGTCCAGGAAAGGGTCCAAGAATTTGCATTTCTAACCAGTTCCCTGGTGATACTGATGCTATTGGTCCAGGGACCACACTTTGAGAACCACTACACTAGATTATTCTGCCTCTCAAAGAGGGCAGATGTGATGCAGACACAGAGGAGGATCCCTCTGCCGCACTCAGCCCTCCATGAGCAGTGTTCCACTGCTCAGAGTTGGCCCAGAAGGGACCCCCATACATCCTTCACTGCCCCTGTCAGGATACCTGCAAAGGTCAGCTCAGTGCCCTCTTGGATCTGTCCTCCGAGGGTACACCAATCAGCTGGCCTCCTTCCCCCATGCCTGGGCCTCTGTCCTCTCTCTCTACAGGACCCCCTTCCCTCCCTTCTTTGATGCCCTTCTTCTCTCTGCCCTGGGCTGAGCAACTTCAAGATCTGGACCAGGACAGATCATCAGAAGGTGATGTGTATATTTCAGGGTGACTCAAAATCGTGCTATCAGTCCCCACAGAGCTTCCAGCCACCGTGGGCAGCAGGTTAGAGGCCACCTGAGGAAGTCCACTGGGAGACCCCAGGACAGACCTTATCTAGTCCAGGAACACTGCCAAACCTGTTTCCGCCTGACCAGACCCTGCCTCTATCCCATCCTTCAGTCCTGCCATCATTCACTGTGCCATCAATGGCAGGGCCAGGACCCCAGATGAAGGCTCACAAGGAGGGGCCAGGGGCTACTGTAAATCTGAGGTTCCAGTTCTGCCCCCAAGGAGGGCCCCAGGATGGGCCATCCAGCCAGGAGACCAGGAACACAGCCAAATTCCCTACGAAAATGGAGCCTAGGACCGAGGGAAGAGAGAGGAGGGATGGATGGAAGCAGGAGGGAGAAAGAAAAACCACAGTTCTAACCCACCCGCGGTGTGACTGAAGTTTGGTGGGAAAACAGAGAAAGGGTGGGTTATCCTGAAGGAATGTGCAGTTTGCAGCAGCACCAGAGGGCCGTGTAAACGGATCTGCAAACTCTATAAAGAATTTTCCATGATGACATGCTCATCTGACAGGCCATCAAACCACACCACTCGCTGCCCTGCTTCCTCACAGCATTTCCAGAGCATCTCTCTGCAGGCCGCGCAGCAGCCCAGGGGGAAGGAAGGACAGCTGCCTTCAACCCTGCCCTCAGGGAGCCACTGTCTAGCTGGCCAGGCCACATACAGATGAGAGCACCAGGACATTTAGACACGACTAGGCTAACAGGAGCACTAAAACAAACATGAGGGTCCATCAAAAGGTTGTCTAAAAAACCAAATCTATGTTCAAAGCAAGAGAATGAGGAAGTCTTAACACCCTGTGTGTTAATGGTAAAGAGATGGCAGAGCCACTGAGCTCCCCTTTCTCAGCCTTTGTTATCTCAGATATCCGTTGTACAGTGGAAAGGGCGGCGCAGCCCAAGACAGATGAAACGAGCAATACGAGAACACCTCTAAGTGAGAACGGCACCACTGACCAGAGAAAGATGCGACTGGAGAGCCACTTCTGGTCATCCCCATGGAATCTCGGGGGGAGAGGAAAGATGTCAGAAGAGAAGTTGTCCCTATTCTCATACAAATGGAAAGCGTGGATTCTAGAAACCAAAACCTGAACTCTTGCAGACTTCTAAACGGGGACAGCAGAAAGTCTGGCACATTCAGAAGAGGAGGTGATGGGCACCATAAGCTAGCACAGGTTCACCAAGAACAAGTCACGCTCAGCTGAGTGCATCTCCCTCTCCCAAGGGGCTGCAAAGCCTTGAAGTTTGGTGGAATGCAGTCCATCCAGATTTCAGCAAGGCAGCTGAACAGATGGGCTTAAACATATTCATGTGGACAAGACAGGGAAAAGCAGGGTGAAGCTGGGATTAATTTGGGTCCATTTAAAAGCAGATCAACAACCCCAAGAACGAGTGATCATTATCAACCTGGCCTGAGCTCTCCACTGTCATGCCGAAGGCCTGGTCTCTTCAATATTTTAATCAACAACACAGTAAGGACATAGATGGCTGACCAGTCTAATCTGCCAGGGATGCAATATTGGGGACAAGGCTGGGCTGGGAAGATGGCTAACACACTGTAATGGCAGTTTGGGACTCAAAATCATCTGGACTGGGAAAATGGGCCCAAACTAACAAGAAATGACTGTCTTTTAAAAAAAATTTTCATGTCTTACACTTTGGGTTAGAAAAGATGAATATAGATTGAAGAGAAAAGTCCTTGGGTTTCACCTGACAACAAGCCAACAAATATGAAGGTGGCTCCCAAAAGAAAAGTAAATACTATCTGGGGCAGTGTCAATACCTTATCTATTCAAGGCTGGGAGGTAACAGCCCACTGTTTGCTGTGGGGTCAGGCCATACCTGGGGCACTCTGTTCTATTCTGGGTGTCAGACTTCACACGATATGTTAACCAGCAGGCCAAAGTCCAAGAGGGGATAGGTGTGGCTTTTTTGGATAATGAGCTACTTCAGAATGGACTGCTTTTGGCAGTAATCCATTCCCGATAATGAAAAGTGTTTCGATCAAGGGTGACCTCCGCACATTAGGGATGCTGAAGGTGTGACTGAAACAGGGGTTCTCCACTGGGGTGGTAGCACCCTCTGGAAGTGTCTGGAACTGCCGCCTGAGTGGGGAGCACTGTATGTGCCAAGCACTGTTCCAGGCACCAAGGACAGGCAGTGAAGGGACGAAATCCTTGTCCTCTCACACACCTATTCTAGGGGATGATGGAGGCGCTGCTGGCATTAAGTGGGCAGGGATCAGAAAGGCTAAATGCCCTGCAATTCACAGCAAAGCCCCACCCACTATGCCAACACTGCTCCCACTGCTCCCACTGGCTTGCCCAAGGCGATCTGTGATTTGGGAATCATTTAGTAAGTGGGAAGGAGACATCAAACCTAAAAGTGGGCAAAACAAGATAACCCACAAGGGCAGTGTGCCTCTTGAAGCAGAGAAGTTGGGCTTCTTGCCCTTCACCCCACCAATGGTGTGCCCATTGGGGCACAGCTGCAGCCTCAGCCTCTGGCCCTATGCACTTTCCCCATGACCTCCATCATCAATCCATGGTCACCCAGAGAGGGGCAGGCAAAGGGGGCATCCTGAAGGGTCCCAACCCCCTCGCCACCCCAAGGGCTAGAAGCACCACTAACCCTTACAACATTCCAGTGGCAGGAGCTGTGCCTACTGATCAGGTCAGGAAACTGAGGCTGAGAGAGGTTAAGCGGCAGAACTGGGCCAGGTTCTAGCTGGGGTGCAAGTCAATATGGTCCCTATCCCCCTCCCTTCACTGCTTGACCTGCCCCTGGGTGGTCTCCAGCATCCCTTGTTGTTGCTTCCTCTCTGACCAGGGGGCCCAAGCAGCTGGCCTGGGAATCAGCTTGGCTCCATCCCAAGGCTGGGGAGAGCAGCAGGGTTTCAGTGCTGTAGGATGTCAGACACCCCTTGCTGGGGCTTTCCTATTACCTAACTGGCTCTCCCTGCGATTCTGCCAGGCATCACTTGACAGGTGAGGAAAGCTAGGCTTGGGGAGCACAGGTCCAGATGTGAACTTGGGGTCCATGCTCCTTGTTCCCCTCATGTACAGCTGTGGCTCTGGTGGGAACACCTCACTGGTTATGGTCAGGGTCACACAGGCCAAGGCGGAGGTGTCCCAGAACAGAGGAGCTGACCCAGGACTGAGGTCATCCCAGGGTTGGGGGAGGGGCGTGGGGGAGCCAGGCCAACACCCCATTAGACAAGGCATCCTGTCCCCGGGGTTAGGGAAACAGCTTTCTCGGGAGGAGGCGGCCCCTGTTCACTCACAAGATTCTTTAACTTGGCTCCCAAGTTCACCCAAGGCACTATTTTCATTTTCCACATAACCCTGGATAGTGACAGGAGAGGGGGGATCCTGTACACGGCTCCAGCCCGGCTCTTGTCTGGGGACTGAATGGAGCTCCCACCTCTGTCACGTCCTAAGAAAGTAGTTCTGATTTACTGAGGGCTCACCACGCAGAGAGAGATGTGCTAAGCGCTTCACATGCCCTGAGCTCATTTAACGAGGACACAATCCTGCTGGGAAGATGCCATAATTTTTTCCATTTTGCAAAGGAGGATTTACAGCTTAGAGAGGTTAAGTAAGTAACTTAGGGTCTGATTGCTAAAAGCGATGAAGCCAGGAGGAGAACCCGGCCCTTCTGGGTCCTAGCCGCTGTCATACCCCCCTCCCCGCAAAGGCCACAGGGAGGAGGCAGTGCAAACTTCCACCCCTTCACACCAGCTGAAAAAACAGTGCCCTAGAACCAGTCCGTCCACTCTGACCGAGCTCAGCATTTCCAGCTAGGCCTCCAGGAGGCGAGATTCATGCCCTGGCCTTGGCTTCAGGCAACCATTGCCCTGACCCCACCCTCCCGGGCTCTACTGTCCACAAAATCCGGGTTCGCGGATAGCTCCTCACCCCCGGGGATCCGGGGTTTCCCAGGCAGAGGCGGCTGCCAGGCCTCCTCTTCCTGGAGAGATTCATCCTGACAAGTGGGCGGTTCCAGGCGGGCACAGCCAGGGCTTGGGACATGAAGCCCACCTTCTGATACAGGCAGGTGGGGCTGAGGTGGGCCCTGCCCTCCATCAGGCTGGGTGGGGGAAATGGAAGGCAGGGGGCAGCCTGTCCAGGGATGGCAGCTACTCCCTGGGCTCCGT